CCCCGCGCATGCCAGGGGAGCGYTATCACTTGAGCCACATCCCCAGCCCCCCTTTTCTTTTTATAAGCTAATTTTTTCAGGTACTTTGCTATAGTGACAGCTGACACACCTACTCTCCTGAAAAACGTGAGTTTCACTGAAGTTGCTTTGAAAGGTGCACCAAACCATAAGTGCTGTCATTGTAAAGTTTGTTAGTAGGCATTGTTGAGACATATAAGTTGAGATATTAGATGCTGACCACTAAATATCAACTAAAAGGAAAAAAAATGAAACTTTTAAATTAAGAGACCCCCTATAAGAATATCAAAAACCAAATACTGCGACATAAAACTAATGAAAAGACTGACAGTCAGAAAATTGTAAAATATGATTGAATGGCAAGGCATGGTGGCACACACCTGTAATCCTAGCTACTCCAGAGTCTGAGGCAGGAAGATCACAAGTTCAAGGCCAGTCTGGCAGCTTGTTGAGACCCTGTTTCAAAATGAAAAATGAAAGGGCTGGGGGTGTGGCTTAGTGGTAGAGTGCCCCTGAGTTCAGTCCTCAGTAACAAAAACAAAAGCATYATTGGGAGATGTTAGAGAAGAAAACTGAATACCTAGAGGGGTCTACTGATTCAATACAGTAATAGAGTTGTTTCTCCTGTATATGATATATGTATGTATTTTCTCCCCAAATATGAAAAAAATTCATGAAAAATTCACAAAATGAAATTTTCCCTGGTACTGGGAGTTGTATGTCCTATGCATACCAGGGAAGTGTTCCACCATTGACCTACATTYCTAGCCATTTTTTTATACTTTTTTATTTTAAGACACAGCCTTGCTAAGTTGTTCCGGCTGGCCTTGAACTTGTGATCTTCCTATCTCAGCCTCTGAAATGGAGTCCTTGGGATCATAGTGGGCATCACTGCACCTGGCTGGAATTTGGGTTTTACAAATTGAGATGTGACCTGAAGTGGGCAAGTTATTTTAGGAATTAACCAATGCAAAAAGAAATTCTAAAGACCCCCCTGAGGGGCATTTCGCTTTAGGAAAGTCCAGAGCATTGCACCTTCCAGGAAGGGTGGAGGTGAGAAGCCACCCAGTTGCCCCCCTGGATCCAAGGCCTGCCTCTTTGGCATTCTGGGAGGGAGACCTTCAGGAAGTCTGCCTCTCCAGAGCGCAGGCAGGAGATGGTAGTGCCTCCTGAGTTCCCACAAGCTCCTCTCTGTGAAGCCCAGCGCCAGGCTATGACTGCTCTCGGTGGAAGCTGGCCAGGAGGCTCTCCAGGTATTGCTGAGGCTCACCCACAGTCTGCTTGGGAGGTCCCATCTGTCTCAGGAGGGGATGGAGGGGTCCATCAGCTCTGGGCCCGGCGGCCTGAGGGTCTGAACGCTGGCTTCTCTCCCTACCAAGGACTTAACCTCCTCAGGCTTTGGTTCCCTCTCCTGCAAATGGGCTCATAGGGGTATTCGGTGGTTGGTTCTCGAGACTCCTGGGCCCTCAGCCTTGTCCCTGGTGAGGGAGTCCTGACTGAGCAGATCTATCGTTACCAGGCTCTTCCCTGTCCCTCAGGTCAGGCTGCTGGGTCCCACCCCAGCTCCTTGTGTCCTCAGCTGAAGGTCTGGTCAGGCTCTCTAGGGCTTTCTCTGCAGGAGTGACCAGACTGGGAATCAGGCGTACAGGGCTGAGTCATGTCCCCTCCCTCCAATGCACATCCACCCCAAACAAAAGAAGGGACCTTATTTGGAGGTAGGGTCTTGGCAGATGTAATGAGTAAAGACCTCTCAAAATCATTCTGGATTTAGGTCCCAAATTCAAGGACAGGTGTCCCTATAAGAGCAGAAGTACTGGTAACCTAGGAGGCAAAAAAGGGAGAGGGTACTCACATATAAGGAAGGACCCCCTGGAGCCACCCGAAGCTGGAAGAGGCAGGAAGGACCCCCTCCTCTGTTGCCTCAAGAGGGAGTGCAGCTCTGTCCACAGCCTGATTTCAGACTCGGCTGTCAGAGCTGTGAGAGAGATTTGGGATAGTTTATGGCAGTGCTAACAGATGTGTGCACCTGTGTTGGCACAGTAGGTATGCGCTCATGAGCGAGTCCCTTGGATGTGGGTCCACTGACCACACTCATGTCCCTCTGAGTCTACATAGCTGAGAAAGGCTGCCTGAAGGGCTAGTGAGGTCACCCAGGAAGTGGAACCCTGGGAACCAACCCCAGTCCTCCAGCTGCCACCTGGCTGTATGTCCTTTAAACAAAAATACATGTGGGAGCTGGGTGCAGTGGCCACACCTGTAATCCCCGTGACCTGGGAGTCTGAGGCAAGAGGATATGCAAGTTCAAGGCCAGCCTCTTGCAAGCAAAGGAGACCCTATCTCAAAATAAAAAATAAAATGGGCTGGGGTTGTGGCTAGGTGGTAGAGCACTTGCCTAGYATGTGTGAGGCACTGGGTTTGATCCTCAGCACCACATAAAAGTAAATAAATAAAAAAAAAACCGGGGGGGGGGTGCCTGGGGATATAGCTCAGTTGGTAGAGTCCTTGCCTGGCATGTACAAGGCCCTGGGTTCAATCCCTAGCGCTGTAAAAAAAAAAAAAAAAGGTTGGAGATGGTGCTCAGTGGTAAAGCAACTCTGGTCCAACCCTCCCCCCCTAACATACACACCATTAACAGAAGGCCTGTGGTATGATGAAGGGCTTCAGCATCCAGAGCACCGTGGAATCACTCACTGAGGTTATATTTATTTCTAAATGTAAGTGTGCCTGATGCTCTATTTTTATGGAAGAGCGATGCTGCTTACTGAATTTAAAAGACCCACAGACTTGCTGGCTCGGGAAGCTGCTGCTTTGGCCACCTGCTCGTCTGTACTGTTTTGGGGTCTGCCACTCTCCCTCATCCCAGATTTTCTTCCACAATTCCATGTAGTGCTGGGAGTTTCCAATTGTTATAGTCCCCCCCCTTTCTCTTTATGCTGGGCAGGACTTCAAATTTCATACTACAGAAGTCATAACTGCTTGTGGCAACATGGAAACCATACATAGGTTGTGCACAGCAGGTGTCAGTCTGTAGACCATACACTTACACAGAAACTTTTCCTGAGTCTCCAGGGTGGCCAGGGCTGGGCAGCTGTGTGTCGAATGCTCTTGTGAAGTCTTGTGGGAAGTCTTGAGGGAAGGAGCCTCAGGATTTCCTGGCCTCTCCCCCCCCACCTCATCCTAAAGGTGGGCAGTGCTCTTGAAAACAGTAGTTGTACAACTGCCTGAGCCATGGGTCCTATGTTGCCCAAATACTTTTGGTGCACAGGACCATTCTGCAAGGGATGAGTGGACATGGATCCTTATCTCTGCCACATTTGCTGAAGCTGTGGGCTGTGGGGAGCTCCAGAGAGCACTGGCAGTGACATGAGCAAGTGCATGGTGCAGGAGGCTGAGCCCGGCCTGCAGGGGCTCAAGATCATAAGGGGCAGAGGGCCCCTCAAAGGGCCTTTGGAGGACCCAGCAGCCACCACTCTGTGGCTGACTCCGAAAGATTTCAGGCTGGAGGCCTGACAATCTAGGTTTCTTTCACCTGGCGTCCAGCTTTCTGCCCCAGTCCTACCTGAGAGTTTTGAGRGACACACACAGCTGTACATCTGGTCTGTCACTACCCAAGGTGCTCAGGGGCTGATGGCAGCCTGCTGCTAATGGCTTGACCTACTTTAAAATTTTCTAATTAGTCAACATTTAAAAATTCTGAGATTTGGGGCTGGGTAAAGTGATAAAGTACTTGCCTACCAGGAACCAGATCCTGGGTTCCATCCCCAGCACTGCAAAAAACAAAACCAAAAAACAGATTTTACATGCAACTCCAATTTTTTGCTCCTGTTGGAAGATTCAAGCCATGCCCACGCTGAGCTTAAGGTGCCCTTGGAGTGGGGCACAGCGCCCTCACGCTCGCTCCCAGCGAACCCAGCTTCCTCACACCCAGCCTGCTATACTCATGTACATTCCGGTCCTCTGGAGGCTAACGTTCAAATASGAAATTCCCGTTGATACCTTATAGGATTTATCCTGAACACCTTTCCTAGGCTCCAATCTGTGCTGCTCCTTAGGGACATCGGTGTCAAGAGAACGGGGGGGGGGGGGGGGGCACTGCAGGTATCAAGCGGTTGGGAAGCTGCGGGAGGATCACGCACAGCGCCGAGGCGCCGCTGAGAAGCGCAGCAGTCCCTCTAAGGTCTGCAGCCCCGCCCGCCCGCCCGCCCGCCCGCTGTGCTCCCGGCACGACCCCGGGCCTTAGGGACCGGGAGGTCCCGGCCTGGGGCCTTTCTGGACACGGCTTCTGGGCATTTCCAGTGGGGGAGGGGCGGAGAAAAGAAAACCTGCGGCAGTGTCGATGACACCGTCAAATGCTTAAAACACCCGCCTGCCAGAAGGGGAGAGTGCGGTGCAGCCCGAAGAGCGGTAGAGACTAGGTGCGTGCACACTTCGGCTTAGGCGATTTATTACCATTCCCTCCCCCAAACAGAAATAAAGGGCAGAAGACGGCTTCCGGGCGCGGCTGGTGCAGGCGCGGCGCTTACCGGCGCTCGGCGGGAGCCCACGTCGTCCGGCGGTGTCCTCCGCCTGGCTCGCCGCAGCCATTTTGGAGCGGCGGAGACAAAGAGCAAACCCGCCGCCTGTACCCCGACCGCCAGCCCCGAGCGCCGCCGCCGCCGCACCCGCCAGCCCGCGCCCGCTCCCGCACCCGTTCCCACACCGGTACCCATACCCACCTCCCGCGCCCGCGCCCGGCCTCTGGCGCTCGCGGCCATTGGCCGCGCCTTTTAAGCCCGCGCCCCAGCCAATCAGAGACGCCAGGGCGCGGGCGGGGGCGGCGCGCGCCGCGGCGCCTGCGCAGTGCCGCGCCCCTCCCCCCGTCCCCCGCCGCGCCCCCGCCCGCCCCGCGCGCCGCCCCCCGCCCGCCCCGCGCCCCGCTGGAACCTCCTCCTGCCCAGGCGCGCTCGGCCGAGCGGCGGCGGCGGCGGCGGCGAGGAGGAAAGATGGCGGCGGGCTCGGATCTGCTGGACGAGGTCTTCTTCAACAGCGAGGTGGACGAGAAAGTGGTGAGCGACCTGGTGGGCTCGCTCGAGTCGCAGCTGGCGGCCAGCGCGGCCCACCACCACCACCTCGCGCCGCGCGCGCCCGAGCTGCGGGCCGCGGCCGCCGGCGCGCTCGGGAACCATGTTGTGAGCGGCAGCCCGGCCGGAGCCGCGGGCGCAGGGCCGGCCGCCCCCGCCGAGGGCGCGCCCGCAGCGGCGCCGGAGCCGCCCCCCGCAGGTAGAGCGCGGCCGGCGGGCGGGGGGCCGCGGCGCGCGGGCCCCGACTCACCACGCCGCCCGCTTGTCCCCGCAGGGCCCGCGCCGGCGCCCGCCAAGCTGAGGCCGCCGCCCGAGGCCAGCGCGGGGCCCTGCCCGGCCGCCGCCGCCGCCGCCGCCGCCGGGCCCGAGCCCGCCGCCGCCGCCCCGCCCGCCGGCCCCGGCCCCGGCGCCACCAAGCCCGGCCCGCCCGGCCCGCCCGGCCCCGGCGCCGCGCAAACTTTGAATGGGAGCGCCGCGCCGCCCACCGCGCCGCACGCCGCACCTGCTGTCAGCCCGGTCAACAACGGGCCCGCGCCGCCGCCCGCCGCCGGCTCCGTCATCCAGGCGGCCCCCGCGCCCGCGCCCGCCGCGCCCTCGCCGCCCGCCGCGCCCGCGCCCGCCGCGCCCCCGCCGCCCGCGCCCCCCGCGCCCGCCGCGCCCGCCCGGCCGCCCGGCCTCCCCGCGGCGCCCGCGCCCCCCGCGCCCGCCGCCGCACAGAACGGGGCCGGCGCCGCCCCCGCCCCCGCCCCCGCCCCGGCCGCCGGGGGCGCCGCGGGGCTCAGCGGCCAGCCGGGGCCCGGCGCGCCCGCGCAGGGGGCCAAGGCCGAGCCGCCCAAGACGGCGGGGCCGGCGGCGGCGGGCGCGGCGGCCGGCGTGCTGCTCGGGCCTGCGATGCAAGGGGCGCTGCCGGGGCCCGCCGGCGGCCCGCCGCCAGCCCCTGGACCCCCGGCGGGGCTGCCCAAAGGCGCGGCCGGCGCGGCGACCCCCAGCCTGCCGCGGACACCCTCGGCCACCACCGGCGGGATCCGGGCCACCCTGACCCCCACCGTGTTGGCCCCTCGCCTGCCGCAGCCGCCGCAGAACCCGACCAACATCCAGAACTTCCAGCTGCCCCCAGGTGAGTGGACGCGCGGGGCGGGAGGGGAGGGCGGGTCGGGCGGCCGCCGATCCAGGAAGTTCTGGGCTGCGTTCTGGGGCTGTGCCCGGGCCGCCTGCCTCGCGGCTTGCCCGCGGCTGCCGGCTGAGGGGCGCCTCTGCCCAGGTGCAGAGGCCAGCCTGGGTGTCTGGTGAGCCAGCGAGGCCGCTGGGCCACCCTGGTTCGGGCCGGCTGCTCCTGCTTCGCGGCCTTGATGCTTGTCTGCGCTTCTGAGTTGCTCGCCTAGGGGCTTCTCGTGGAGGCTGTTTTGCACTGCTGCCCCTGCTTAGCTCGGCAGCTCGGGGTCATGCTTGCTCTGAGGGCTCCCCAGTGTCGGAGCTTGCCCCTTTGAGTGGCAGGGCCCTCGCTGAACTCAGCTGCCTCATTGTTAATCCAGGGCTGCTGTGGTGGGCCAGAGAGCATCCTTCTCCTTGTGCAGGTGAGGTCCAGGCTGGGCATCCCCCTACCCCCCAGGTGGGGAAGTCTGGATGGAAAGCTTGGGCTTCCTGCTGCTACTAAAGTCAGAGCTAGTGCTCAGATGCCGGAGCAGTTTCAACTCCAGGTTGGTCCTGAGTGTGGCCTTAGGCTTTTGTTGTTGCCATCCCCTGAGGTCAGTGTGACACTCCCAGCCAGGAGTCTGGGGTGCAGGAGGTGGTGGGATGTGGAGCCCAACACATGTGCAGGGGATGCTTTTAGTGCAGAATCTGCTTCAGCCTCTTCCTTCTCTACACTCCCTCTGCTTTGTCACCCTGAATTCTTTGGGGCCCCTGAGGTTTCACCGGTGATCTCTTGCCCGGTATCACATGCCAAGCTGCTTTTGTTTGGGAGTGCTCATACAGGAGCCCTCCCACTGAACGCTGGGCTGAAGTGCTGGGCTTCTGAGCACTCCTCTCTGGTACTAGTGATGTGTGCAGCAGCTGTAGCTGCTACCGTGGAGTGGCAGTAGTAGTGGATGAGGGAGGAAAGCATGGCCCTGCCACTAGTCCTCTCCTGCTTATTGGGAAGAGCTGAGGGTCAGTTCAAAGAGCTGCAGCCTCTGAGGAGCACGTTTTCTTGTCATTGCCCATGGGTCTCAGGGCTGCTGGTCACACATTGGGATCTGCTTCATTGGGGCAAGAGTGGGGTGACATGAGAGCCAGAAACAGTGACTCTGGGTTGGCAATAGGGACTGCCCAGCTCTGAGGAGGAAAAGAGGAGATGTGAGAGAAGCACCCAAGAATTTGTGGGGTGTCCTTGCCAACCTCTGGGCACTAAAGGATGTGCAGTGATGGGTGTTTGCTAGAAGGCTCTGTGTTGATGGTTATGTGTGATTCCTTTTGGTGGAAAATATGGCTGAGTTTTAGTTGTTAGTTTTGAAAAGGTGGTTCATGGCTGTAGCCTTTTAGGTGAAATGCCTCAGTAATTTGTGTCTACTTAGGAAAACACCCTTGCAGTGGTCCTGCCTGTTTCAACAGTGCCTCCCTCGCAGCAAGGATGTCCCCACACTGCCCTTTCATCATGACAGCTGGTGACTAGGTGCCCATGGCGTCCTCTCACCCGTGGCCATCTGGGGTGAGCCATGTTTCTTTCTGTAAGCATCTTACAGGTAAAGCCCACCTCTCTTTTTCTACTTGGGAGAAGGAAGACATTTGAAAAGGGCAGCCTTGCCTTCTTGAGCTGTCCTGAGACTCCCTTCTGCCTTGTGTTTTAAGGTCAGTCTTAGAGCTGGCTGTGCTTGACTGGAAGACAACTTGAAAAAGACGGAGGGTTGTGTGGGTTCCTTCTCCTGGTTCTCTGCATCTGGACTCATGCATGGGGAGCAGAGAACAGCTCCCTTGCACTTTTGGAGTGTAAATGCTCTCCCAGGAGCAGTGCTTTAAAGTGGCCCTGTGTTTTCTGGGAAATGAAATATTGACATTCATTTCTTCAAGACCCCCTTCAGTTATTTGATCAGAAACACTTACCAATTCTGTTACTTTATTTTAATAGTGAAAGCTGAATGAGTATAGTTAAGTCCACCATTAATGCTCCAAGCCAGGGTACTTCTTTCTTAAACAGGGCAGTCCATTCTTGAGAGCTACAGTGATAGGTTATAAATACTTTAGCCGTAGCCTGTGATTGGTGGATCAGAAAATGCTCAACTCTTCTGATTGATGCTGTGCTTCGTAATAAAAACATACAGACCAAAGGTGGAAGTAAAGTCCAACAAAATTCACAGGTGGCCGACAGCTCCTCATTTTAGGACCCTGTGATGCAGACTGGTGGAGTGAGGATCAGGGGAGGGCAGGGTTTCGGAGCTGCACACAGGTGTGGAGTAGGATGTGGAGTGTGAATGGGGAACCTTGCCCCTCCTGGCACCTCTCCTGGCTGGAGGTTGTGGTGGGAGAAGGCAGGGAGGACCGCTTTCTCCTATGTCCTGAAGCTGAGTCCTGGGCCTTGAGTAAAGCCCCATCCCCACAGCGCCCTTTGAGCTTCAATTAAACATCTGAATTTGGTTTTAGCAAACTCAGTCTTGATATTCTTTGTCAGGACTGTTTTGTAAGACATTTATGTTACTATAGTTGTATTTGCTCGTTTGAAGGTGCCCGAGTCTAAGTCCTACCCACTGAGGATGAGGAAAAGACTTAAGAGACGTGTGGAAACAGTGTCATAGCCGTTGTCATGGTGTTGTCCGAGAACACCGAAAGCACTGGCTGCTCGTGTGTAACCTGGGGTGGTCTAACGTCAGAGTCGTCGTAATGTCCATGATCAGAGTTGAAAAGAGGAGAAAGTGATCTGACCCCCAAATTAGCATGTGGGTAAGTGGTTTTAAAAGATCTTTTTTAGATAGGTAGGTGCTGCGTTGAAGCTGCTAATTTTAAAGGCTATCTTGTAATGTGGCCAATTGGCACATTTCTTAATGTGCCTCCTTTTATTGTGATTTCTTGTAGGACTTACTTTTCTGTGGTTCTAGGTCCCTGCTCCAGGACAGAAAGCCATGTCCTCCCATTGGCCTAGATGCCCTGCCCTGGGGATGTCTGCATGCTGCCTTTTAAGATGATGCTTCATAAGGTAGCTCTGTGTTGAAAGACTGTCTGGGGCACTGCTTCCCACCCTAGGGCAATTGCGTTACCTGTTATGGGGAAGGGAGAGTCCCTTAGCGGCTGGCTGCACCTTTTTGGCTGGTTCTCCTGAGGCTTAGTCCTAAAGTCAGGCCATAGAAGAAGTAGGGCTGCTACTGTAGTTATGGGAGCTGCTGGCCTGGTGGCCAGCTGTGGCTCAAAGTGCAGGTGCTTTGGTTCAAGAGATGTTCTTGGAAGTTTAGACATTACTTATGCACAGTAGCTGTTTGATCTGGGACTGAGGACAGTGTTCATGGATCCTCCGTTTCCTGGCTGTGATGTGAGGTTGGCTATTTTGTGAAAGATATGGAGTTCCATCCAGAAGAGGTGTGCATCCTCCTAAGTTTTGTAACATTTTCACTATTTCAAATCAGATGTTGCTGTAGAAGTTGTGAAATCTTGTAAGGACAGATTTATTAAGTCAAATCCATGTCTAGAGTGGTTGAAGAGTTTGGTGCTGGGGCTGCCTTGTGCTGCCAGTCAAAAGCTGCTGAGGTTGTCACAGGTGTGTGCTACCTGCCCGCCCACGTGGTGCAGGCTGTGCAGAGTGAACCTGGATGGGGGACTTGATTCAGGGCCAGAGGCCTTGACCTAGTGTTCTCCTTGGTATGCTCAGGGACAGTGACATTTGAATAGAACAAGGAGAAGTAATTTTTTGAGAGCTGTTAAGGATAGCACTAGGCTGCTCTACTTAGGATGGATCAAAGGTGGCTTCCCTGCTTCACCGCTGGGTTGGAGGGATGCCCTTGGGGGCGAGAGGGCCACCCCCATGTCCTGACTGGTCTCCCCCCCTGTTGTCACCATCATCTTGGGGTGAGTGGAGTGTCCTTGGTGATGGGGTGGGGTTGGCCTACTCTAGTCTGCAGATGTCTTGGAGCTAGTATGCCTTCTGTTCTGGTAGCAGCAGGGGCAGGGCCTGTGGGCACTCATGGGACTGCCACCCTGGCTGCTTACTGTGCTTGGTGCTCTGCATTCATGGGGGACTCCCTTAAGTCCTTATATCTGTAGGTAGAGCCTTGTTTGTTGGGGCCTTGCCAAAAGGCTGCCTAAGAAGGTGGACTCTGGCTTACCTAGGGCTTGATGGCCTGAGGATCCCCAGGAGCAGGCCCTGCTCCTATGAGGATCTTTGCCACCTGTCCTGACCCTCTTCAGCCCCTGCCCTGTAAATGGAGCAGCTCTAGGCACAGCAGCGGGTGTGGGTGGGGAGTGGGTGGGTGTGGGTGTGGATGTGGATGTGTGGGGGGCGCTGCCTCTGTGTCCTTGAACTCAGAATGAAGTCAGCATAGTGTCTGTGTGTTTCCAGGTCTAGTTCAGTATATAAATGTAAGCTATCCTCTGTTAAGTGATAAATTTGAAGAGTGCTTTTAACAAATAGATGGTTATGTGTGAGTTGATCAAAACATAATTAACTGTTTTTGGGAATCTTAAAGGAGAGCGATAAAAGGGCTCCTGAGATTTGGGGTAATTTGCATTGTTCTCAGAAGTTCTCTTTCTTTCTTTCTTTCTTTCTTTCTTTCTTTCTAACGTAGGGCTGAGAGTCGAACCCAGGGCCTCACACGTGCTAGGCAAGCACTCTGCCACTGAGCCCCTGCCTCAGCCCACTTTCACTTTTTTTTTAATGTGGATGATAAGCTGGAGCCTTTGATTTGCTACCTGGGAAACAGTTGCTGTTTGGGGTTCTTGCCTGGAAAACTGTCTTTGGCTGTGGATTGGCAGCCCTTTAGCTGGGCCTCTGATGATAATAAACCAGTAAAGTTAAAGCAGGTAGAAGAGGCTGGGCATTGGGGCACTTGCCTGTGATCCCAGTGACTCAGGAGACTGAGGCAGGAGGGTCACAATTTTGAGGCCAGTGTCAGCAGCTTTGTGAGACCCCTGTTTCAGTACATAAATAAATAAAAAGAT